CTCTATTACACGTTTATCATTTGTGCCACTACCTGAGGAAGATAATACAACACCAAGTACAGATAATACATCCGAAATTCTTGGAGATCAGCAGAAGTCAATGGCGAACATGCGCCAACGCGATTCTTTTTGTGATTTTCTAGATTTTCAAGCAAACGAATTGGACCGGATATCTGCACGTTTTACAATGGGGCGTGACAGCTTCGATTGGGATACACTTGGACGTAAGCCAAACTCAGAAGATAATCGCACAAATGTATCGAAACTTAACGGCAGCGATGAAAGTGTCAACAACTCGAGTAGTAACACCACTGATGGTAAATTTAATTTAAGTTTAGATTATGTAAACACACGGCGTGCTAAGGTAGTCGAAGAAGGAAAACGGCAATTTTCTAGTAAGGTTTTTTCTGAAATAAAAATATTTTTAGTACTTGCAAATCCTTATTTTACTTTATTGCAATTGCAGCGCTGCCGACGGCACCACTCCGTGATCGTAATAGCATATCGAAAGTTGTAACCAATTTAAAACAAATCGATGAGGAAGAATCAGCAAATTCCGCACACTCAACGCAACAAATAGAGTTGGATTGTGATAGCGATAAAGAAAATCCCAGTAATATAGATGTAGAATTCGATTTAGTTGCGCAACCGCATACACCAGTAAATGCATGCAATAGCACACCCAATCGCACGCCGGAAAGCACACAAAATTTTACAGAAAGCAAGAAATCGGAAAATTTAAAGTCGCAAGTTGCAAATAATCCCGTGCCACCACAAGCAGGGATTCTACAGGAAATCGCCGATTTGCGTATGGAAATGAACTCACGTTTTAAGCAATTAGAATCGGAGTTAAAATTTAACGCCGAGCAAAACAAATGGCAAATTTTTACGCAAACAGCTGATATATGGGCGCGCCAAATGAATACCACCGAAGATATACGTGATGCGCTGAGCTATCTTTTGCAAACCGATCCTTTTGTAAATGAGTTTATACGCCTGAAAGACGAGAATGAGTTATTAAAGGCACAACTACAGCAATTGATGGCAAAAAAATAGGGAAAACCTACACATGTATGTATTTTATTAGATATCTATTGTAGCACTGTTTTGTTTTCCCATTGATATTTTAAAAAGTTTTAGTAATTAATCTTTATTATTTGTAGTTGATTGTGAAATTGTACTGAATAGAAATGTATTAAATTAAAATTTATTTCATTTATTTAATGCATAATTGTGACAAAAGACTTTATGTTGCCAAACAAAAATTATACTTTTATGTACTGATAGGAATAAAAGGACTAAATAAGTGTGCTTTATTATGGCAGATATTATACATATTTGTCAGGGAATAAAAAAATATATGATAACTGTTTAAAACATGTTCGCTGATTAGTTCTATTCCATTTAGCAAATCTGTACTGTGTACCCAGCTCTGCTGATTTGATTTGATTTAAAATTTAAAAGTGTATAATTAACACTTTCCCTGCCATATTAAAAATGAAACAACATACGTTTTGCATATATCTTTACATAAGTATATGGTCAAATTAACTAACTCGGACAATTAGTAACCGATCTCGCGATGGGGTAACCCAACATCACTGTCAAACATATGAGGACTTGGAAGCAACTTACGAAAGCAAAAGAAACTGCTTATGACTTATGTGAAGTGTTTTGAAGAATCAACTACTAAAAACTATCGTTACTAAGCAGGGACAGGGAATGTGTTAACTTCAACAATAACACAAGAGAACAAAAATGTTTCTGATTGACTTTTCTGTGCCGATTACGAATCCATGAGTATAAAGTTCCCATCGGCTCCAGATTTAAAAAAAAAAAACGAGATCAAAGTGTCAAAAAATATTATTAGGTTTAAATTAAAGCTGGAAGTATCCACAACTATCCCTGAAAATACCATCCCTGCACCTTGACTTGATGGTCACTTATAGTCATTTATTGAACACCAATAAGTTTGTTTGCCTACCGCAATTAAACATAAGGTGATAGAGCCTTCCACTTAGGGTCAAATTAAGTCTTGAACTTTCGACTACAATCTTTTAAAATACCATCCCTGAACTTTAAGCCTAAGGTCAATTATAGTTATTTATTTAACAGCAAAAACTGATTTTGGCAAAATTTAGTTTTTTTTTCAATAGTACAGTATTCCAGTATTTTTATATTGTTCAATAAATGACTATTAGTGATCATCAGGTCAAGGTGCAGGGATGGTATTTTTAGGGATAGTTGCCGAGAGTTAAAGCTTAAATTTAAGCAGTTCTATTCTGCACGTTACCGAAGATTTTGTAACCGGAAAATTTTATTACCAAAAAATGTTACCAGTTCTTTCACCACGATTCTAGGTTCGTTGGTAATGCAGTTAAAATATTCAGCAATTTAGCTATGAAGAATTGTGCAGATTCTGGCATTGCATATTTCACGGGGCAACACTTTGTTACCAGCTTAGGAGATGGTAACAAAATTTACCGGTTACAAGAGTACAGAGAATGCGAAAAGGGTTTAAAAATTTACAGGAACTTTATTTACCGGTTACAAACTTTTTATTACCAGCGCAGAATAGACCTGTAAGTGGAAGGATCTATCACCTTTTGTTTTTTTGCTAGACCTCCTAAAATATTTCAAAAAACGCGATTTTTTGACACTTTGACTTCGTTTTTCTCAAATATCTGGAGCTGATGGAAACTTTATACTTACAGATTCGTAATCAGCACATATTATTATTTTATTCAACTTATTCTACGCCGCGATCGTAGCTAGATTTCATGTCAACCTACAAAGTAAAAAAGTGAACCATTCAAACACTTGCTCCCTAATTTTTTTCCCTCATATTTACTACCCACCGATATGGTTGTATTGAAATTTCTATAGTCCACAATATAGTGCTCATTTCGCGTATCATAACTGATAATGTTGACGAAGCGCTGTCCCCAGAAGATGTCTTCACATGGCACATAAGAAGTGCGCGCCTCTGTTACCATTGCGGCGGCTGCTGAAGTGCCAACTATTGACACATATAATTCAAATCTTTTGCTGACCTCAAGTAGTGCAATGGACTTTTCTCATCAATGACATGGCATACAATTTCAGGCCAAACAATAATTTGCTCACCGCCACCATCCAATTTTAGCTCAGTACGCGTTTGCACGAACTCGCCTTCACGCGTGCTAAGTGGATAAAAATTATTTGAAAATACGAAATACTTGCATATTTAAAAATGTCATTTGCTTACGTTTTGTCCGTTATGAGATATACACGTATTTTCGATTCGATCGTTTGTTGTTTCCGTGGGTCACAGACGCGAAATAACAGGCAAAGCTTATCATCGCGGAAGCAAATCTGAAAAAGTAAATACTAATATTTTATTCTCGACGTTTTTTTTTTTGAAAATGTATGTAAATGAAATTATTCTTTTTATACTAACGAGCGCCCAAATTCTGCTTAGCAAACAAAAGGAAATCAAAAAAAGTGTGGCCAAATTAAGTGCGGATATAGGGCATACATTTCAGAGCTGTGTAAGTGTGAAATCATTTTCAATTTTAAATCAACAATTTTTTTTTATCCAGTTTTCATTACATATTCTTCGCTTAGGATTGTGGTTTAAAATTTTTGAATTTTCCATTCTCTCAAAGCAGTTATGAATTCACACATCAACATATTCATAGCAAGATTGAAAAAACCAATGCCCAATCAAAAAAAGGTTTAACACTGAATGAGTATTGAAAAGGCTGCAATCTTTTATGAGTGTGCATTCTTTAACTCAGTACCAATCATTAGTTCAAAGACACCCTGGTAAATAACTTTTTGATAAAAAGGAAGATTTTTGACAATTGCTCAATTGTAAAAATTCAAACCGGCGTTACCCAATTTAAGTTTTTTGGTAGAGGGGATTTTATATCATATGTTTGGGATTATATATAAAACAGTTGTATTAATATTTACGTTTTAAATATAATTCATGTTTTATCTTGAAAATGTTTAAAATTTACATTAAATTAGATAACTACTTGGCATAAGCTTTACATTTAGGTTGATAAAATTTTAGTGAAAATATTTTAAAAATCTTAGTGTCTTTAATAAAAAAATAGCTCATCATAAAAATTGTATCGCCGTTCGGCGTCGGCGTAAGTTTGTAGGTCCCTCCCATTTGTGTGACAGCAAAGGCGCACGCTACAAATCGGAGGAGAAGCTCGGCCAAAACTTAGCAAAAGTGTCAAGGCCAAAATATGATTATTATAAATAAATTTAGTTTCAAAACAGGTCGCAACCCTCTTCAAACACCTCAAAAGTATTCCCAATATTATTTAGTTGTAAACCCGCATGAGTCCGAAATTAACATTTTTTAGCAGAATTTCCAGATTTTACCGGAAATCGTACATGGTTTTCTGGCAACTGAGAGGACAAATAAGAGAGTTAGTAAGGTCATCTCTTTGTCAGAAGCTACCTGGTGGTAAATTCTGGTAAATGTGTCAAAAGATCCGATGTAGTGTGTTTGACAACCAAATTGTAAACAAAATAGAAGTGCACTCTGCTAATGCATGTTGAAAAGTAAATAATTCCTTGCTTGAGTGGATGCTAATGAGTTTTGGTTAAATTACAAAACGCTTAAAAGGTATTAGCCGTCATTTTACGTTTAAAAACTTTAAAACTTTAACACAGTACCACCCTATACTCTATATGTGATTGACCATTGAACTAAATCGTTGTTTATTTGGGTAAGATTAAAATATATTTTACTATTCAATATTGGAGTTGGTGTGAAACAAAAATTAATAATTTATTGTTATGTATGCAAATGAGAACTACAATTCTGAGCTTATTGAGCATCTCTTAGTCAAA